AAAAAAATAAAAAATAACCCAAAAAAAATTGTTGTTGAGACGTCTATCCTGAAAACCAACCAAAAGTTGAGTATACGGCGTCTATAAATAACGTGGTTCATTTTCATTTTCATTTTCATTTTCATATACCCAACACGCCAGTAGCGACAAATCGGCCAGAGTCAACTGGTCGCCAACGAGATACTTATTTTGCTTAATTAGCACTTGATCCAAATTTTTGAGACTATTATTAAACGAGGTTACTTTATCGGCCGAAGGTTGGTTTCCTGAAAATATGGGTGTAAACTATGTTGGTGTTTGTGTGGAGATAAATAGTGTAAATTAATATTTATTTTATGTATAATAATTATGTTTAGTAAGTGCTGTCACATACAACATCTATGATCTGGTTAAAAAATGTGAGGTCAAAGTTGAGAGATCTGTCCACTAGAGCGCGCTGTTTCGGGTCCTTCGGGTAGAGAGTGCTGTCCGGCGCGTATCGGTTGCACAGGTATTGCATTATTGCCCGACTCTCCCATAGAGCGAACCCGTCGTCCACTAAAGTGGGCACTTTATGCAAGGGATTTAACTGTACAGTAAATAAACAAACATGTATTATTTATATAATATAATTATATTTAACATAAATTAAACTAGTTATGAAATATACAATTAAATAAATAATTAATTAATATTTTATTTAAGAATATAACGTATTTATTATAAAACATTTAGTTTTATACATTATAATATAATGTTTAAAATAGATATTATCTAAATTATATTATTAAATTTACTTACAGCGAGAAACTCTGGTTTTAATTGTTCGCCAACAGCTAGGTCAATTGGCTTGAAGTTAACGTCAAGTTTTAATTGCCTGACTGTCATCCACACGGCCCGCACTGGACCACTGAATCGGTTATAATATAAATCAATTGTCATTATTAATAGTTAGATTAATTAAACCTACAATTATAAAAATAATTAAAACACAAACTATGTAATTATAAATTCAAAAATATTTTGCCTTTTATAAATTGTATTTTGATTTCAGCCTAATTGCGTTTATATTCATTTATATTGCACTTGCGCAAAATATCAAAACATGTTTTAAGGGCTCTATGTCCTGCTTGCACTATATCAAATTATATAACTGTTTAACATAACATCAAATTAAACAATATTACATGTAATGTTAACAGACCGTTCAAAAAGTAATGTCCATAATGGCCATAACCTTTGAACGTATCAAGATAATTAGATTTTTTAGATTCACGTAACACTAGTCCATGTTTACATTTCATATAAATTTTCAGAACAGTGCGCAAATAGGGAGAGGAAAATTGACGGGGGTTAGCATCAAAAATAACATGGGTGTCAATAAGTAACATGGGTTTCTATGGGCAGGATTGCATTCATAATACTCTAATATAAATAGGCCTAATATTAAACAATCTATTATAGTTATACTTTACAGCAATATATAAAGTCCTTTTATATACACAGAGCTTCATGCACTTATTATAAACTAATAACTATTTGCTGATAGTGTTCAAGGTAATTACTACAATTGTAAACTGTACAATGTATATGCAATAAATTGTGTGTAAAAACTCTCATAGACTTACATTACAGTAAAAGTTAAAAATCTAATCAAAGATCTAAAACCTTTATAAATAAACTGACAATTGAAATTCGGTTAGTGCCCGACTCCGATTTTAATTTAATTGCGTTATTCAGAGAGTTTAGGGCATATAAAACATGGTCCGAGTCCGTTTCGAACATAGGCAATTCAGGTTTGTAGCCGGACACTTTAACCAT